TCCCAAAGAAAATCATTTACAAACCACGGTCCACTCTGCAAGCCACGTTGGCTTTGTCCTGCTTCCATGAACATTAAGATCCCCGAAAAACCACCCATGACCCCTCCAAATTGTCGACACTCACTGTTCTTCCCGCCCCCAATTCCTAACAGACCTAGGGCACCTGAGCCCCCCATCACCTTGGGATGACACTAACTACCCGCGAGGATACAGTAGATGGGCAGAGCGCACACTTTTCTCCTATTTTTGACTCTTTATCAGTTTCTTTCTTTTCTTTTTTTTTTTTTGTACCAGGAATTGAACCCAGGGGTGCTAAACCACTGAGCCCCATCCCCAGCCCTTTTTTTTATATTTTATTTAGAGACAGGGTCTCACTGAGTTGCTTAGGGCCTTGCTAAATTGCTGAGGCTGGCTTTGATTTCCGAGCCTCCAGTCTCAGCCTCCGGGACCGCTGGGATTACAGATATATGCCACCACTTCCGGCTCTAATTGGGCTCTTAGCCATGAATTCTCACAGATTTTGTGGTTAGGAAATATTATGCTTATCTCCCTGAGTTTCAGGACATGGTCTGTGAAAGGGTCACAAACATCTCCCCCTTCAGGGTAACTCGGGTTCCTCTTTTTAACGTTTTTTGGGGCCTGCATTTCCCCTGCAGATAACAGGTAGTTTGCTGAGGAATGTGACATATCCTGTCCCCTGAAGCCAGGCAGGGCTCCGGGTAATTTGCTTCTTGGAAAAGAAAGTATGTGGGGGTCGGCCCAGTGGGCCCATTTTATAGAATTTTTCTGTGAACCTCATGTTCCCTCCATTCACACCTGTCTGTCCCCAAACACCAGAACCCTGTCCCTTTGAGCTGACACAGGCCTAAAGGATTACAGCCTCTGCCAAGGGAGATCGACTGGGCTCCACTCCTCTCCCGCTCTGGAGGGTGGGAGTAGGGCTCAAAGTTCCAACTCTTTATCCTGCCCTAGTCTTTCTGGTGACTAGTCCCCATCAGAAGCTATCTAGGGGCCGCTGGTCACCAGTCACCTCACTAGCACGCAAGATGCCTGCCCAGGGTCCGAATGCCAGGAAATTGGGACAAAGACCATGAATTCATAACATCACACCTGGCCTCTGACCTGCACTGTGGCCTCCGACCTGGTCCCAAACTGCCCGGCCATGTCTGAAGCCAGAATAGCGGTTGGCAAGGGCGGTGGCTCTGCACCTGGGGTCCTGGCCAGGGTGTCAGGCCCTCCTCATGGGACACACAAGTCCCCCTGGGCCTTTTTAGCAAGATCTTCCCACCCCTGGTTCCTTGGCTGCTGTGTGGCTTGGAGGGGGGTGGGATCTAGGGAGAGGGACGTGTGTGTGCCGGGCTGGGGCCCTTAGACCAGCTCTTGCGGAGGCCTGGGACACTGGCCTTGGCCCCCCTGTGCCGTCTGGCTCAGCTGGACACAAACACTCAGAACGGCTGCCTCAGTGGAATCCGGGCTGTGGCCAGGCTGTAGCTGAAGAAGTCACCAGAAGAACACACAACCCCTGCTACCCCTGGCTGTCACAACCAGCACCTGGCAGTCTGTCACCAAGCCCATTTCCCCCAGAGACTGAGCTCTCCCTCCCAGTGCCCCACCCTAGGGTCCAGCCCCTCCTGGGCCTGTCCCCTGGATGACCCTTCTGGCCTTTTGGGATCTGCATGTTGCAAATGGTACCTGGCACCTTTCTTCAGAATATGCTCCCCACCCCTGGCCACCTGCCCTGAGCCGCAGGCCTGGTGGGTGGTCTGCCCATGCAGGAGCCCCCCTGCTAGATACTGAGAAGCCAGTGCTGTTCTTGCCTCACGATATGGATAAGCAAGCCCAGCTCTCGCTGGGCCTGTCCAAGTTGCAGGCACAGATTCTAGAAGCAGCAGCCAGGACAGAGGTGGCGGGGGATGGGGGTGGGGTGGGGGTACCTGGTTTGCTGCCGGGTGCCGAATGGGGCACTGTGGTCTGAGCCACCTCCTCCTCTCCAGGTTCCCAGCTTCCTGCTGGTTCCAGCCCAGCACCCTCTAGGACTCCCAAGTCCCCCTAAGGTGCTGCTGGCTCACCCCCGGAGACCCCCCGAACACAAAATCAGGCCTGTTGGGCCCACCTGGAAGGTTCCGACCAAGCCCCAGCCCCTGTTGACGGCTGAACCTCGGGAGTGGCCCAGCAGGGGTGGCCGGACCATGCCTCTCAGGTCAGGGGACAGGGATAGAGGAGGCCTGGGTGCAGGAGAGCGCAGGGACAACACATGGCTGTCCTAGTGGCTCCCAGTTCCCTCCTAGGGGATCTCACTGGCCAGCATCCAGCTGAGGATGAAAATTCAGGAAAAATAAAACCTATCTCTCTTCTGGGAAACTGAAACCAAAACCTGAATGTTTTGAAGCTTGCTTGGGCCGGTTCAGGGCCCTCCCGCAGCAGGCAGGCAGGGGACTTCCTGGAACTTGCCTATTAGTCAGGAACTCCCCTATGCTAATAAGGGGGCGGTCTCTAGAAGATTCCAGGGCTCGAGCCTCTGTCCAAACCCCTTACATCTTAGGGAAATGGGGATGGCACCCTCTTTTTACCACTACTTGCCAGTGCCCTTGGATGATCAAATGAAGGAGGGTGGCCCTCGAAGGTGCTGGCTGGGGCTGATGGTGGGCTTGGTCATGGCGGGCCTGATAATCGCCCTGTCCATTTTCATGGTCAGATATTACAGTGAAGCCTGCCAGAATGGTCTGGAGCTGGAGAGGCAGTGCCACAATGTCACCCAGCTCCTGAAGAAGCAGCTGATCCAAGCCAAGGAGGAGAGCCTGGCGGCCGAGACCCGAGCTGACACCTGTGACCAGACTGTGGTAAGCCACCGGCACCCTAGGGAGGGCTGGGGCCCCACAGGACCCCAGGAGAGGGGAAGCTGGGAATCTGTCCCTGGTCCCCCACAATAGGAAGGTCTGGATTTCCCCACCAGGATTTAAAGACCAAATTCTTCCCAGGGCACTGGTGTGAGTGAGTCCTTAAAACTTTCATCAGCCCCCAAATCAGGTATTCCCGGCAGGAGTTGAAGAAATCTGCAGACTTTTTTCCAGGGCACGGGGGTGGGGAAGCTTAAATTCTCAGTGGGTCCCAGTCTTCAGGAAACAGAACCCCCCACTCAGGGCTGGACATGACTTCACCAGGCCTTGAAGAAGGGGCTCTGGAAATTTTTACTGAATCTGAAATTTTCACTTGAGACCCTGAACGTCTGAGTTGGGAAATCACGGCGTGTTCTGAGTTTGAGAAGAATCTGCTAAATCTTCTTGGGTGATAAGGTAGAGGATCTGGAAATTTCTGCTAGGGTTTGAATACACAGAGCCTCCCAATTCCCATGTTGAAAAACCCTATCTAAAGGAGCCCACATTTATGGGTGTCCCTGTGGGGGTGCAGGCTGGTGGCCATTCTTGGAGGTTGGAACCTGAGGTGCAGAGAGGTTGTCAGGGATGTGAAAGGAGTTTAGAGGGAAGCCCTGTGGCAGCAGGAACTGGGGCTACATGCCCAGGATGGCGACAGACCACTGCAAAGCCAGAACTCTTTTTTGATTGTTTGGTACCAGGGATTGAACCCAGGGCTGCTTCACCACTGAGCCACGTCCCCAGGCCTTTTTTTGTATTTTATCTAGAGACAGGGTCTCACTGAGTG